TTTTTTTTCTGGGGGGGGGGGGTCGCACGATCCTGGACATATGTATAATATATATGCATGTATAAAAGAGTATGTATAAGGTATTGTACGTATAAAAGTTTTGCTGCTCTCTTATTTTAATTGATTAAGTCGATCAGCGGGCTCTTTTCTTGTGGGTATTGAGTCGACGCTTTACATAGTGAAGGAGGTGGAACAGGAATGCTGTGTACGAGAGAGAAAACAAGAAAAATCTAGTACAAGGAGTGTGAAACAAAAACAAAATGATTCGTGATAGTCAATGAGATGAAGATAAAAATTGGAATGTGATTTACAGATATTTTCCAAGGGGTTGGTCTCAGGTTGGTGTTAGGGAGGCGGGATGTGCGGAATGGCGCGCATTTCGTGAAACTCCGCGAAACACGGCCATCGGCAGAGGCAGGCATTGCAGAGCCAACATTTGAAGCGCGTCTGCCTGAGCTTTCCACGTGAAGTGAGCACGCCGAGCCGCTTGCAGTGTACACATACTTTCCCGTGACCGTTTGCTTTGCTGAGGCTATGCGGCTGACCAGATACGTACGTAATCCCTCCTGGAGAAAATTGGCCAAATCGTCGGTTAGTGATAATCTCTTAGAAGTTCTTATGTGCACATGCAGGCAACCATTAGTAACTGTGTTGTGTTGTTTTTTTTTTTAATATATAGATATACATATTTTTTTGTAAATTTTTTTTTTGTAAATCGAAAAAAGAACTTTTACTTGCTTGCTTTTTTTTTGTCATTCTGTTCAATCCTCGAAACACAGACATGTATTGACAGAGATACGTATATTTATTTTTTGTACTTTATATTTTATTTATTTTTTTTTGTGTATCCAATTCCCAGCACCAACCCGTAGCCGTAAGCCAGTCTAGTGTCAGCGATCCAATACCCACAATGTAGCATTGCCAGGTGCTAGTTCAATGTGCTCCCCCTATACACACAGGTACACTCTTCCGTAATCTCTCTCTCACTGTGCCCTTCCGACCCTTCTGGCAACCAGACATCTAAATTTTAATAGGTATAAATTTTGTTTTATTTAAATTTCGACTTTTCTCTCTCCTCATCTCCCTCGATCCTTTTTTTTTCCGTAAAGGATGCTGCTCTCGCTATTCCTCTCGGCCTGCTACTCGGTCACTCGGCAGAACCGATACTCGACCTCGCTTCCGTCGCGAAGGGAAATCCTTTTTTTTCTTTAATTTTCATTGTTACAACCCTCGATGGGATCTCGCTGTTACGCGCGATACGTTTGGAAGAACTGACAATAGTTTATTTGAACGATCGATCAAACAAGAAAATCTAAGAGGTTCTTTTTACATTAAATTACGTAACTTTTGTCTCCGACGATTATTTTCCCTCTGCACTCTTGTGTTTTGTTCTTGTAATCGGTTCTCGTGTCTTTAATTTTTTTTTTATTGCGCACGGCTCGCCGGTTCACAATTTGGTTTTGATTCCGCAACGTCGAGCACATTTATTTATATGCACGTTTCTCTACCGGATATGCCTCGGTCTCCGTATTGGATGTGTCTCCTCTCTCTCTCTCCTTTTTTTTTTTTTTTAAATATGCTTCGTCTTTTTTTTGTTCTTATCAATTACTTACCTAGGAACATTTTATATCAATGATACCCGATTACGGTCGAAAGAAAGAACCTCGTGATAGCATGATGAGAGAAAAAGTTGGTTGGAAAGTACACCAGAGATCGCTTAAACATGCCACTGTCACCATCACCACCACCACTACAGAGTCTTTGCATTATTAGTTTGTATATGTATGTAATGATATAGAAAAACGAAATCTCGGTGCTTTCGTGAAAATTTATTTTATTTTTTTCTATATCAAAATCCCATACGATTGTGTTCCCTTGATTTTACTTTAATTTTCGATACACTTTCGTCGAGTCTCTGTGACAGTACCAATTTTTTTAACAACAAAAAGTTCAAAAACAAAGTTCCCACGCCCGGTGCAATAGACGGTAGACGTGAAACTTCCAGATACGAATAACCGAGAAAAACATACGACGTAGTTTCCCTCGTTTGTCTCATCTGCACGAAAGGTAACACGAGTTTCCATTTTTCTGTTCGTTGTCGTAAAATCATGTTCGTTTTTCAATAGGTTCGCTCGCTCTCTTGCTCTCCTTAAGAAAAGACTTGTACCTCCCGAGAGAATGTTTTTGAAGGATAAGAAAATAATAATAACAATGATGAAAATTGAAAGAAGTATTCCCTCCCGCATAAACGAGAGGACGTGTTGATCGATCCTCTCGTTAAAACTTTCAGGAGCCTCATGAGGCAGTGCTCTGTTAGTGCGTACGAGTAGTAGAACATAATGGGTGGCTCCGTCCAAGTTATTAAAGGAACATTGCTGATTGTCGGCACACATACAGCACTTGGCAATGCTTACTAATTATCTACAGCTCAACCTACACCCGAGTGCCTGTACCACACGATTACATTCAGAAATCCATGCACGCTTTACACTAAAAAGGCATCTTAGGACAGTTGACAGAGTCCAATGATATTGTTGATGGATGAATAAAAGTAGGGAAAGTTATGGATCCTGGTGAGAAGAGGGTGGAGGGGGTAGAAGGTTTGAAAGAAATTTTTTTCTTTTTTGCTTTCAGGGAGTGAAAATCGCCTCGTTGCGTTCACCATTTTTTTCCCTTTCATATTCGTCGTTTCTATGTACACGCAATTTGCGAAGCTGACCGTGATAATAAATGTGACAAGAGAGCGACAGACGACACTTCTGGTAACGAAAGCAAAAACAATTGATCTGTTATAGATGAGGATCTTAGGAGGAAAGAAAAATAGAGATAGAGAGAGACAGAAAAGTTGAGAAAGAGATGAGAAATGAAGATTGTGGAATTAAAAAAAAATAGAAGATTGGAGAAAAGCGAAAATAAATGATCGGTCAGATTCGCAAAGTGACAGAGAGTTACACAAGGGATGTTTCCTGGAGTTGAAAACCTGTGTGTTCTTGAGTCAGCGATATATGTAATAGCTTCTCATTTGCAGTTAATAAGTTATAATAATTATTGTGCTTATTAACTTACACCGATATAAGCCAAGGCATAATGCTGACTCCGCCTTAACCCAAGAAGTCTTGTACAACTTTTTATGAAATGCGTGTATCAGTAATGCAAAAGCTGCAAAGGCTACTAAGCCGTTATTGTAGATACGACTTTTGATTAATTGGTAATATCATTGCTAACTACCCCCTCGGAGTTAATTAAGTCAATAACGAGGAATCATTAGCGTTCCTTACTATTGACGCATCATTTTTAAGTACAGATCTTTTGTACCCCCGATGCACAAGGTTTCTAAAGAATTTTTAGGTTCTCTAATTTTAGCTCTTTTTTCTTGTGAACGATCGTTTAAGTAATAAATGTTTTTGTTTTTTAATACAAGGCATCGACGGATACAAAACTTTGAGTGCCGTCGAGCCATACTCCCTTTACTTCTGTCTTCAATATTTTTTGTTTTCAATGACGCGATCAAATGTTATTTGATAAAGGGATTGGATAATATTCTTGTCGATATTATAAAAATAGTAAACACAACGTAACGATGCATTGTAATGTGTGAAAAAAAAGAAAAAGTTTCCAGGAGGTTTTCGGGTTTTTCAAATTTCTTAGGATACGGCATCGACAACAATCAACAACCTGAACTACGGTGTTTAAAATTATATCAGCTGGTTTGTACACTCACCCTGTATAGCGTCCTGCGTTAATCTCTCGCCTGACGTACTCGGTTTTGACAGTAGGTGACCTTCAAAGAACATGATGATTATAAAGCATATTCTTGGTGTATTGTATTTTTGAAACACTGCAACGAAAATAAAAAAAATATCTTAGTACAAGAGAGCTTACCTATGTCCTGATGTTTGACATCATGAGGGGTGTCCGAGGCTGACTGATTAGCTGAGTAGAATGTCTGACTAATGTCAGGTTTTTGTTCGTGGTCTGGTGTGTTAGATGATTTCTCGTCAACTCCAATTCGATTGGTAGAGCTTTCCCCAGTGCTTTGTTCCTCGTAACTGCAACTGCTGCCATCCTGTTCGAGGTATTCAGGCATCTCAAGTTTGAGATTAGGCATTAGTGGGATGATTTCAACCGGGTCGGAGCCCGGTATGTTTTGACCGTCCGTTTTACTGTCACTTTCCTTTGAGGATGAATTCGTCGTGTTTTTCTCTGAATGACCGATTGAACTCTCCCGACATTTTCGTCTCTTGTTTGGCGGAGTATCCGGCTGCAATTCGACGGAATGAAATTGTGTGGGAGACGCGGGAGACTTTGTGCTCTGATTTCCTGACAATTGCGATGACGTATTCTGCAGCTGCACCTCAGGCTCATTGGGAATATCATCCTCCTGAAAAAAAAGAATTTATGCTCATTCGATTAACAACTTATAGTTCAAAGGATATTATTTAAATTAATTTTTTTAATTGTACTAATAGCTTGGATACAAGTTACATACCTCAACAAGACTATCGCTGTCTTTGCCAGTTCCATCTGTTAATCCTTGAACCGCTAAAAGTTCTGCTGTCGTTAAAAAGCTGGCAAGCTGTTCCTGTACTACATTAACCTCGCCTTGATACATAAAGTCGACCAGCGCAGCTAGGTCGTCAAATTTAACATTTCGAAATATGATGACTGGATGCTGGCAAGGATTTTCCTAAATCAGATTACATTGTATATATTAGAATTTGCTAAACATTCATTAACCACTATATGGAAAGACTAAGGAAATACCTTGAACAGATCCCTAAAATATGTGCTACAAGCAGATAAGAGCATCTTGTGTGCTCTAATCCTCTTTCCCTCACAGCTGAGGGTTACATCAACAAGATCTTCGTCTGTGCGCAAAGTGTCAAAAGCACATGTTATGTGTTTCAAATAATTGTTCCACCTTAGAGAAAACTGTTGACTCGAACCCATACTGCACTTCTGAAAATGCACACGAAGCAGTCTTGTAAAGAGTAATATCGTGTCGATATAAAAAATAGTGGAAGAGTGCACAGTATACTTAATTTTAATCATAACAGTGATATTGCAACAGATTTTTAAGATTATCTAAATTTACTCAAATGCACAAAAATTCTCATCCTTATGAAACATATTTACTTACATTCAATAATTACCAAATAAAAATGCCAAAAAAGAAATAAGGGATATCTATAATCTTAAAACGTTCTCGTCACTTCTTAGAAATAAAGATCTAATCCATTAATCTTAAGAGTCGTTGGTTAGCATGGATCAAGGTATCGGTCCGATTGATAAGACAAAAGTTTTCTCGACAAACATGAATATTGGAACGGTGTGCCTCACCTTCCGGCGAACCGTCCCAAGGGTAAAGGAGCGTCGAGAGTCAGACGGGTCCGACGAGCCGGTGAAATTCGAAGTATCAGAAGCAGTAGACTCAGCTAGTGGTCACTTATACAGTGTGGACGAGTGTCTGTAAACAGTGTAATAAACTTGGGTTTCATGGCACTGCGGCACTGGTCACCCGATATACACTCGGTCACTCCGCGTCGTGTTCACCCGAGAGTTCTCGATCACCCGGCCGCGCTCCCACGGCTGTCTTCGTCGGTTCCTTGTAGAGACGCTTAACTACCTTTCTTGCACTTTAGCAATTGCGCTTCCCCCACGAGTGACAGCTGGTAGCCATTTTCCTCTAGGAAAACGCGTTAGATGCGCGAAAGAAGCCCCACTTCCTGCACAAGCCACGCGCCCTGCATAGGCTTCCCTGTCTTGTTGTACAAGCTTTAAGCCGCCTTCTCATGAAACTATTCCATGACACAAGTCAAGATATAGGCAAGGTAAAACACTATGGTAGGTGCGCAGATTTGGGCATTGTTATCACCAGTTTCTCTAGCACGGCAAGTTACCTGGACATGACGCAATGTTTTTGTTTGTTATATTTAAATAACCAGATTAGATGCAAATGACATTTTTTACATAAACAAGGTAGATGAACGGGAGAAAGATAGTCAATGAAGAGTATGATTGTATAAAATAGATTTTTTATTTTTGAACATATGAATTAATCAACAGGTTTTAAAAATTTTGGTTTTTTTGGTATAGGTTCTTCATCCTCGACCTGTACTCTTCTTATATACTTTTTCTCTTTACGATGTCGCGATAATGGATTAACACCACGAGATATATGTCTTGCCATTTGCTCATCAGAAATATCTGTCTCCTTTTTCTTCTCAAGCATCACTCGTTTGCTTTCATTTTCAATTTCCATTAATCTTTCAATATCTGGATTCATACCTTGAAAGCTCAGCCGACCATCGATTAACTTTTCGCAGTATGTGAAGCTTGGCTCTATTATAAATTTATCCCTAAAACATAAACAAAGTTTTGCAATACATGGAGAAACAGAATGATAATAAAAACCTACTTTTCTGATTTCATACGAGTTGTCAACAAGTTCTCAAAATATTCTTCTCCTTCTTCTTGAAATTGTTGTTTTTCCACTTTTTCTTTAGTTCTCTTCATAAACTGCCAAAAAACCAGAAACATGTATAGTTTTTTTGCAGTGAGTTAACCTCCATCTATTTCTATACCTTCATTTCCAAAATTCCTTTGGACAGTTTTGCCTTACTGTGATCTCGTCCCGTCATATTGCCCAATATTATTCTGTCACTATTATCATACGAAGTTTTACACAAAATATCTTAAATCTATCCAAGAACAATTTACCACAAGTAGATTATCGATTTACACACTGCACAAATGTGCAGTCGAACCCTGCATTTTGATCTACTCAAGACCTGGTGAATTCACATATTGAACGGCGAAAGAGTCTTCACTCCGTTGGTTAATTGGTCAAATAGTGAGGCGTTTCAACGAGCCAATCGCAACACCGAAAAAGAATAGTTCTGATTGGCTTGTAAAAACGACTTATGACAATCGTGTTTAACAACGTTCTATAGTCGGCAAAGATACGGTGTTTGTTATTTTGTAGTAAAACGATGCACCACGAAATAATTTACTTTGATTATTTATGACCACGAAAAATTACGTGTCGATTAAACATCCTTAGAAAGTAAATGGTCTCGAACAATCTCGAATAGAATATTGTGGGGCCATCTTCACATCGAAATTTCTTTTTACATTTTTCTTTAAAAAACAATAAAATTCGGAAACTCAAAGTTGCACGGCGAAATTGACAAGGTAATAAGTGGGATTCGACTGTACTACCTCAGCAAACCTTGGAATAATTTTGTCAATCTGGTCCCTCTTCTTCGGCGGCAATATGAACAAATGCTTGTATATTTACATTACCAGTTCTCTAATACACATTGGAATGCATTTGTTTTTTTTGTATGTTAGTACTGCCTCTATAAATGTATTAAAGTATTCGATCGTAAAAAAATTCTTTAAATGTAACTTTAAATATATCGTTTATTAAAATATATTAACTCATAACGATTCTATACAACGAATGTAATTTCTAAAAAATAAGTACCAATTCTGTTGTAGAACTCATACTCCAAGAGTGATTTGGACGGATACATCTTGACGTATTTCTTTGTATAAATCTTCACTGTTTGCTATGCACAAAAACAAAACAAAGAAAAGGACTTCACCTGGTAGGTCTAGTAGCACCATTCAGTTCCTGACCCTTTATTTCGACTGGCAAAGCTAAGGTAGCCACAGCAGCACACAGTGCAGCAGCTGCATAAGTACCCATCGCAGTTGCAATGGACCACTGTAATAAAACTTGTGCCACATAAGGTGTAAGCATCGCACCTAATCGCGCCATAGCGCTACAAGCACCGATACCCACGCTACGCAAGTGCGTTGGATAAACTTCCGGCGTGTAAACATAAGCAGCTTGAAAGACTCCAGCAATAAGACCACGTGCTAGAAAAATTCCTATTGTTAAGACTGTCCGGCTCAGGACACAGGCTCTTCCTAGTACACAGACAGTCGCAGCGAACATCACAAGCTGACAGGCCATCGTACGTTTCTGCCCGATCTTCTCTATTGCAAAAATCGTAGAAAATATTCCAGGAAACTCGGCCAGTGTTGTCCATAATAAATCCATGTAATCGCTTCGTCCCAGACGACAATTGAGCTGACAATCTGTTTCTGGTAACCGGGCATCCGACCATCCTGCACATTGTTCTGTTGAGGTATCAAATAGTTCCGTAGTCATGAGGACGACACCGTAATAACAAAAGGCACTGGTCATCCTATAAGATTTCAATGATTTAATAACTGATAATAGTTTGATATTTGGAAAATGTATATTGATATCTTACCAAACGAGCCATAGTAACGCTGATGTTCGGCGCATTTCTGTGCTAAGTAAATCACGTAATCTTCCTCTACTCGTTGGATAAAATCGGTCAAGCACGAGTCTTCCTAAGGGCATCGGTTTCCCATTTTCTCTCGCGACTCTTTCTAAAGTTGTAAATGCTCTGTCAGTGCGTCCTGCTGCCATATCGAACATTGCTGATTCGGGAAGCCACTAATTAAATGAAATATTGAGTGCGTTGCAATTTGTTGTCGCCTTAGTAAGTGAATGAAGTAAGCGACGAGAAAGGATTTGCAAAAAAAAGATAATGGTGCATAAACTCACTGGTGTGATTAAAGCAAATAAAAATAATGGTACTGTGGAAAAGGCCAAAAGCCACCGCCATCCTAGTGTTGGCATTACAGCTAAAGCCAGAGCTACTTCAAAACACGCTCCCAATGCCCAGAAACACTGAAAAATGCAAAAAAAAATGTTTTCTATGCTGTTTTTAAAACAGGCAAAATTATTTGCGCAACTTACATCAAGCAAAACGACACATTTAGCTCTTTGCTTAGTAGGAAGAAATTCTGCGTACAGTGTGACGCTGCAAGAGACAAAACAAAACGTTGAAAAGCTGCAAAAAATGAGTGTACAATGAAAAAAAATTTTAAACGCACGATTGCGGTACGCAGCCAATCGCAAACCCGACCAGACCTCGCAGCAAAAGTATCCAAAGGAAATTTGGCGCAAACGAACTCAAAAAACCATAGTAAAAAAGTAAAACTGCACACAATGTTAAAGCTTGTTTGCGGCCATACCGATCACTCAGATTTCCCCAAAAAGTCGAGCTTAACATCATCCCTAGAAAAACAACCTGAAACAAATTTATTTTTCAAAATTCACATTTTCCCTATAGTACAAAAACTTTACCGTATTTCAAAATTATGTACCGTAGTAGTTAAAGCTTGTTGATACCGAGTGATACCCCAATCGCAATGAAGTGTTGGACTTAAAATACTAAGTATAGTCATTTCCATACTATCCGCCATCCAACATAATCCCGTGAATAAAGAAAGCTTCACCTGAAACTTTCCAAAACCCAAAGCGTTCACAGCCTGTCCAACAGTAAACGTATCTGAAAATAAAAATGATACCATAAAAATAATCGACTCATCAAAAGCATCCCCATGAAATTCAAAAATTCATGCAAAATGTAAAATCCCACAATAATACATTTGGCGCCCTACTTTGAATTTCCAGAAATCCGCTATAATCATTTAATTTGTGCTACTTTAAATTATGACAATAGAAAACATACCATCCGGTATCACCGCGACGGATGAAAGTTCCATGGGTGGTTCAACATTGACAGTATTATTCTCGCATCTTCTAATTCCATTTTGGGCGGTGGTATTCAAATCTGAGCCATGGAACACGCCGTCCAGTTCTTGATATGGCTCAGAACACTTTCGTCGTCGATAATCAGCCATAATCACGAAATTGTTTTTACCTTCTTGCCGATTTCAATGCCTTTTGGGTGCCAGTAGACAGCATTATTATTACAAAGCTTGACCCGTTATGGGCGCGATTCCGAAATAGGCAAAGGGGAACGTGACTTCTTACTCAGGGCTCTGAATCGTAACTACTTTCATGTGTTTTCGTGACTGACAGCGTCTTGGTCCGCTCATTGTCCGGAACCGAGACCCCGTTAGGCCTGACGATTCAACCCATCTGCTACTCTTGAGAATTCATACCGTTATGAATTCTAGTCCAACACGTCTTGGGGAAACTTTCATTGCCAACTGAAACAGTTTTGTCAATTTTTTCTTCATATCCTTCATATATTTTTAATCATACGGCAGTCAAAGGCAGAGGAAGTATTTTTACTTGTCAAGAATAATTAAACGTTAAAGGGTCATGAAAAATTGACATTATGGGTACGACAGAAAAGATTTAGAAACTTTCTATAATTTGTTTTAGCATTATAAAATAATATTATCTACTTTATAGATTAGGTTTTGTCTTCTATAGATTTATAGGATGTGAACGGATATTAATTCTTTAATTATCCATTTAGCCTATCGATATTTGTTGGCCGCTATAGTTTTTAAAATGGCTGCCACCTGGTGAAAATCCATTACCAATATTGAAACCAATGTGTACGTCACTGGTAAAACTGGTCGCATTCATGGAAAGTGTCTTAAGATTATTTTGCGAAGGGATGTTATCGCAGTTTGTTGCTACCGTTGGTTCCTGGTTGTGATCAAAGAGTTTTACGGGGTGGGGTGTGACACGGAAAACGTCATAATAATAATCGAAATAAGGATAAAGTCCGTAGAAGATTATCGCAAATTTCCTAGAGTTCTAGGGGCGACCAAGTGCGAACGGAAGAATGACATTCGCAGAATGAGGGACTTCTGTAAAAGTGGAGTCATGTAAAAAAAATCAATCGACACGACGTTCGTCGGGCCGGCGACCTTCGTTGTGACGTGCCAGGATGTTTGCGTTTTAACTACAGAAACTTTCTAATTGCTCGTCGATTAATTTTCTTCGAGTTTTCACGATTTTCAGCGACAATCAGCTGCCCTCCAACGTTTAGACCATTTGCATTTTATTGAACACCAGTTGCGTTTTCACAGCTGATCTCAAGAAAGAACTGGTACATTTTTTCCGCGCAAATATGAGTGCTGTGGGTAGAAATAAAACGGGTTCCAATGTTCCCTTTAATTCTGTCAGCCATGAAAATAATGGGAATAGTGAAGTTCATGATGAACCGGTTACCCCTGAAATGGTTCTTCGTTTGCCTACTATAACAGATAGTAAGAATTTTTTTGGAGCAACATTTTAAAATTTATAAGTTTTCATTCTCATGGGTGTATACTAATCTTTACCTTTTTTCTAGAATACCTCTGCTCACCCGAGGCCAATATCTATGATATTGACTTTACGAGATTTCAAATAAGAGATCTTGAAACTGGAATGGTTCTCTTTGAGATTGCCAAACCACCTGCTACTGGTTAGTATAGAATTACATGTACCAAGAGAATGCCATTTAAACAAGAGCTTTAGTATAACTACAATTAAAAATTTCATTTAAATAGAAAGTGATACTAATCAAGAGCCAGAACCCGATGAGGAATCAGGCTGTGAGGATCCTAATACTGGTCGTTTTGTTCGCTACCAATTTACACCACAATTTTTGAAGCTAAAAACAGTTGGAGCCACAGTAGAATTTATGGTTGGTGCAAGACCAGTTAACAAATTCCGTATGATTGAAAGACATTTTTTCCGTGATAAACTACTCAAGACTTTCGATTTCGAGTTTGGATTTTGTATACCTAACAGCAAGAATACTTGCGAGCACATCTATGAATTTCCAGCACTACCAGCGGAACTTGGTAAGCGATTATTCAAGGATTTATTGAAAAATTGGTTGTCCCCCATGATCTCATATATTTTCCAGTATCCGAGATGATTGCAAATCCATTCGAAACGCGATCGGATTCGTTCTACTTCGTGGACGATCGTCTGGTTATGCACAACAAAGCTGACTATGCCTACAATGGCGGCCTAGGTCACGAACTCTTTTAATCTGTGATCTTACCGTCATGAAATTGAGCCTCTCGCACAAGCAGCACTCAATCAAGTCAAAGATGAACACGTTGTAAAGTTGTTTGTATTTCACGTCACCATTGCGCGAAATTCTTGTTATAACCTACACGGACTTAAAAGAAATATATATGTATATATACGTCTGACCGTTTAATCTCGGTTTTGCCGATCTGAGACCTCAAAGTTTTCTTTTTCTGCCACTTACGGGCCCTATGTACAGAATTAAAAGAGCGTTACGACGCTCCCAGCTAACTTCCTAAAATAATCCTTATCACTGTTTTTCGTCGATGAAGCTTGTCAAAATGTCGAGAAACTCCGTGGGTTTATCTGCATGTACCCAGTGTCCAGCACCGGCTATATAATGAAATTTCGCATTCGGAAATAATTTTCCAATGGCCGCATGATCTTCGATTCGGATGTAGTCGCTGTCAGCACCACCCAAAAACAGTGTAGAACCATCAAATCTTTTGCCATTAACCTTAGGGAAGACCGCGATTTGTTTGGCAAAATTTTTCTCCAGTGCAGGAAGATTTATTCGCCACTTGTACTTTCCAGTCTCAGCTTCCACGAGATTTGTCAGTAAAAACTAAAAAAAAAATCATTAATTTTGGTTTCTTATCTGCATCCTGTTTTATAGTTAATAACAACATTTGGCATACTTGTCTAAGGGGTAGTGATCGTATAGAAGATGACAGTTGCTCATCAATCATTTTTCTTGCTTTGGACAATGATACATTTCCATCCAGCGATACAGACTTCATTGCCTGGAAGATCTTTGTCATTGACAGTAAACTAGGGCTGGTACCCACTGGGGAAAAATCCACAACTACCAATTTTTCAACTAATTCTGGATTATTTAAGGCTGTGTACATCATGGTACCACCTCCCATGCTGTGACCCACAAGCACAGCCTTTGGAATTTCTAAATCCTTTAATAAATGCACTACATCTTCAGCCATGGCTGCATATGAGACTTCTGGAGAATGTGGTGAATCTCCATGATTCCGGCCATCTATTGCTATTACCTAGTTAAGTTTGTATTATGTATCACCAAACTTTATCATAATTTATTAGATTTTCTGATTTGTTTTTTATTATGTTATAGATGTGCACAGAAAACTTTAACAATGAATTAAGCCATGATGATTTTCTTTTGTATATACACTAAATAAAATTTAATGTAAAAAAATTGGGTCCATACAGATAATTTAATGAATATACATTCCCTATAATGTGAATTTAGGTATCGGTAGTTACCTTGCAATTAGTTTTTTGATGAATGGCTTTAGCTAATGAATTCCAATTATTTTTAGAGCCAAATAGGCCATGCATTATCAGAATAGGGGGCCTCTTACTGTGATTCTTCTCTTCTTTCGTTGATTCATAGGATACATAGGCTAGTTTCACTGGTGTCGAACTGTTGAATAATGCAGGTTAATTATGTAATTCATATTAAGACTCAAACAGCCTGTACTTACTAAACAGTTGCTGTATTTAATTCACGGCATGAATAATGATTTCCTAAAGGTAACAATGCTAAACTCTTCCTTGTTAAATGTCTGAGTCCTGGTGTTAGTGGAATCATTTTTAATGAATGATCCTCTTTTCTGAACTAAACCTTGACTGAGATTCTGTTGACAATTTTTTACTTGATTTTCGGTTCAATTTTGATTCGCATCCTGACAGAAATTCAGATTCTTATATTTTTTTTAATTGAAAAGGTTATATTCTAAATAGGATATTCCATTGCTCCAATTTCGAGGCGCAAAGAGACCATGAAATGACCACCCCGATGAATCCAATGAATTTCTTGTAGGAGAAATATTCTAGTAATGCAATACTCTGATTGGTGCATCAAAGCATTAAGGAATCTTTTTATGAAGCTACAGTGCAATTAAAGCCAATGGCAGTCTTCCTATAAGTTCCATTGGAATAAAATCTGTGAAAATATTTCCTCGGCGTAGAAAACATTCCTTTATCCAGTTATATTCCAGTCAGCTGACTGCGAGAAGTTAGGTGCACACTTATCTGTCAATACGCCATTGTTTTTGCTGTTGCATTGGGATTTCAACATTTGTTGCAAACTGAGACCTTTTTCTACAGTGGTGATATAATTTTTTTCGCAAATTGTACAAGTGAACAATCACCATGGGCATCGTCTGTTCTTCTGCACAGGTTAGACCATTTTTTATTACCTATCGCAAAGAATATATTCCATCTTTGTCCGAATCTAAAGTATATTTATGAACTTCATCCCGAATATTTCGGAGAAAGGCTGAATGCGTGTATTCAGAGGAATTACCGATATTAATCATGATTATATTTAGACAATGACAGTTAACATACAATTTTTACATATTGTGTTACTATTAAATACATAAATAAGTATGAATTTTATTTCGACATTAATTTTTATTGATTTTTTGATAAGTAATTTTGGATGTCCGTCGCCATTTTTGTTATAAAGTTGAAATTCCCGTACATACACCTTTGTTGTTTTTTTAGTCTTTTGTTTACTAGCTTAAATATTATACTAATTGCAATATTTTTGGATAAATAAAATGGAAAAATTTTATTTTATTTTCAAGATAATTGTTTGCATGCTTGCAGCGAAATCCAATGAGTCAACATACATATCTAATTATGATCTTATCTTGAGGTCAATCCTTTTATTGTATAAACATCGGCTTTTTTAGCGATTCGACGCAAATAATGCATTTTCTTTACTCTGGAACAACATAGTACGATTTTACTTTCACATAACTGGAAATCTTTAGTAATTTTTAGCAAAATTTAATATCTTCAGCCCTTGACCTGTGTGAACTCTTGGCATCTGTTTAACACTATTGATCTGTTTTCTTCACATACCATTCCCCTACTCCTCATTATATAGGACATATTCTAAAAGCATAAAAATTATATAACTATTTTTAGAATCTTTAGGATTGTGTATATAATAAATTGATATTTTTTCCTTACAGCTTGCCTGCCTTTGTGGCAGTGCAGCTTGCAGTTTTTGTTGTTCACAATGTCCATCATGCCGTAATAGTACAAGTACACGTATCATGTACGCGTTACTCTTACTACTTGGCACTATTGCAGCTTGTATCACGCTTGCACCAGGTCTTCAAAACGCATTAAAGAAGGTATAGGAGAAGGATAATATATTTATTTATTCTTCTACTGGACAAAATATGCAATTCATCTTTATTTTACATCCAGGTTCCATTTTGTACATCAGATGATAACTATGTTCCCACAACTTTTAAGTTTGATTGTGATTCAGCAGTCGGTTACTTGGCGGTTTACAGAATTTGCTTCATACTGACATTATTCTTTTTCTTAATGTCTATGATGATGATTCGTGTTAGAAATTCCAAGGATCCACGTGCTCCTATACAAAATGGGTGAGAATTACCACCATTGAATATGATACTGATGAATTATTGAGACACAAAGACATGTGATATTTTGTCTTCAGGTTCTGGGCAATTAAATACATGTTAATTATTGGTGGAATTATTGGAGCATTTTTCATTCCCGAAGGGTCGTTTGGTCCTACCTGGATGTATTTTGGAATGATAGGTGGTTTTCTATTTATAATTATTCAATTGATACTCATCGTAGATTTCGCTCATTCCTGGGCTGATGCTTGGGTTGCTAATTATGAAGAAACTGAATCAAAGGGCTGGTGAGTATTGTAAATAGCATACTTGTTAGCAGAATAGTTATTTTCCTTTATTCTAGGTATGCTGCCTTATTAGGAGCAACATTTTTAAACTATGCATTGGCTATTACTGGGGTCGTATTGCTATACGTTTACTTCACACTGGTAGGTATTAAAATGTTTTCAGTAATATGAAACACTCATTATACTTAAAAATATTGTTTTACAGCCAAATGATTGTGCTCTGAACAAGTTCTTCATTTCATTGAATCTGATTCTCTGCGTTATTGCAAGTGCAGTATCGATTCTACCAAGTGTTCAGGAATACCAACCACGTAGTGGATTACTACAGTCTTCCGTTGTCACTCTTTACGTTGTATATCTTACTTGGAGCGGAGTTTCTAACAGTCCAGGTATTTTGCAGGCCTTTATTTAACTCTGTCTATCACAATCCTAAATTACGCAACTGATGCATTAAATAAATAACTTTTAGATCATGAATGTAATCCTGGACTCCTTGGCATAACAACTAGCAACAGTACTACTACCACCAATACTGCTTCGTTTGATAAGGAAAGCGTAATCGGATTGATAATTTGGATGTGTTGCGTTTTGTACAGTTCGTTACGTACAGCATCCAAATCCTCCAGGATTACAATGACCGATAACGTTCTGGCGAAGGACAATGGAGCTGGTAAGTATTAACTTTAACTTTCTTTTACTTTTTTCTGTTCCATTTATCTTCGCTCTACTAATCTAATACACAACACTATTACAACTAGCTGAAAAATATATATTCTTTCTACTCAAACTGAGGATACCTTTTTAACTTTTCTTTTACGCAGTCAAGAATCCGGCTGACCAGAATCTTGTCGACAACGAAGGTATGCACACACAAAAAATATGCATTTAATTACAGAGTATTTACTAGGCACTCAGTAACTTCGACGATTATCATTCATTGTCGTACCCACACGCAACATTCACGTCATCGTCATTATACTGTCATAAAATAATGAAATGGAACTAGATTAAATTGTCTAGAAGAACATTAATAAGAAAATCCTATATTACAATGTTAATTATTCATCTTTATGACGTAGTTAGTGTGTGCCTGCCTTTGCTAGTCTCTTATGTTTCACAATTTTTCATATAACATCGCTTCCATCATTTTTCATTGATTGATGCATTTTTCTGTTATTGCACTCCTTTCGAACATTATCAGATTATGTTTCAGTAGAAGGTCGTAACGGCGATGCCGAGAGTGGAAATGAGTCCAAGGTCTGGGATAACGAAGAAGATGCAGTTTCTTACAACTGGAGTTTCTTCCACTTCATGTTTGCATTGGCGACATTATATGTGATGATGACATTAACCAATTGGTACAAGTGAGTGTAAAGACAATTGTTAATCAAATTTCAATTTTTTTCCATGTGTATAAAACTAATTCATTCCTTTATTCTTATAGACCAAACTCCGACATAAATTCACTGAACTCCAATTCGGCCTCCATGTGGGTAAAAATCATTTCATCCTGGATGTGTTTATCTCTTTACGTTTGGTCCATGGTGGCTCCTGCCATTCTATCCAATCGGGACTTTTCTTGAACGCCAGATCTTTTAAGTGGGAGGTAATCAGACTCGCATATATAACACTATTGATATACATAAATATTGATATAATAAGCATTAGAAATAAATTGATAAGAATAATATTTGATCACCAATTGGATTGTTCTACTAAGAAATCCTTGCGTCATGCTGTGAGTAATGATAATTGGACTTGTACCGGTAATGCATTTACATATAAACTGTGTAGAATAATTATGTGTAATAGAACAAGTACGTCATATTCTTTCCCATCATTTTTTTTTCATTTGCCAATCGATTAGCGATTCGACTCTTCACAATGTCCACAGTAAAGTATTTACTTTCAAATAAAAAGTAAATCAGTCATATAAGAATATTTATATATATAAAAATATTAATGATAAACTCAAAATAGGTATAGTCCTAACGTAAACATTATACCACTATGTGTAATCTATTAGTAGAATTTAATTTTCTTGGCACTCGCGTCTTCTCTTTATTCCTAATAATATCTTTTTTTGTTCCTTTTATGCTTTCAGTTCGGCGCAACCGTTCTCTATGGCCGCGTTAACCACTTAACCTGGCATTCAATCGGCAGTAATACGGATTCAAACCGTTGTAACGACAAAGAATTATTAAACAAAAAGTAAGCTGACCGCGTACGTCTCCCAAACGTGCAAAATATTCGTGGGCCGCAGATAGCGGAACGTCTCGGAAACGTGATTCCCGGTTAAGTGGTTAAACAATGAAAGAAAGTGAGTAACATATGCGTATAGTCGTGCGTATTAGATGTAGCCTTAAGATCGCTAGTAAATATATACTATATATTATACAATGCATACAGATGTATTCGATGTATATATATATGCATGTTTTCTTTTATTGAACCGGTACAACCTGTCGAATCGGATTCAATGATTGAAGTTTACGACTGCTTTTATGTATCATACAAATATTGATTTGCGGTGTAATGAAATATTACACATTATACAGTCAACTCTCTGTGCAAGCACGCTGCTTATAGTCGCGTTTTCCCTTATTTGTAGAGGTAATCAGGTACCTACTCTTCATCTAGTAAGTAGTCGTGGGGATAGTACGTGTAATTTTTGTAGCACGCCGCACGTGCGCGCAGAAGCGGTGAGAACTTTTTATACAATTACGTTTCAGCACCAAGCGTGCGATTATACAGAGAGTTGACTGTTGTACAGTCGTGTCCCTCAGCAGTTCGGTCTTGGGAACCGGTAACATTTCAATAATCTGCATTCCTACCGAGTCATAAGGGACTATTCCGTAGCCAAGCTATGTGAAGTTTTCATGTTATTGATGAGTCTGGACTATTCAGAGATGAACTATTGAAGGACCCGACTGTACTTATGTATAGATTAGGGCTATGTGTATATATTTTTATAGAGATACTCCTCTCTTTATTGTACTCTTGGGATACACAGAGTGCGTAATTGAAATTACATGGCGAGGATATGTACCAATAAAGGTTAACCCACTGCAAGGAAATAAAAACAGTAAAAACATATTTATTCATCTCTCATGCTTACATCTTGTCCGCAATCCAACATATTCTGCATTATTTATTTATTCACCTAGTTGAATCAAATAAATAATAAGAACTAGCCAGGCGGGATTAGTTAGGCATCTTTGTGGCGTTACGAACATTGCATACGTAAAAAAGAAAATAGAATAAACAAGATAAAAAAACAAATTATTTACAGTGAGCACACAGGCAAAAGGTGAAATTTTCTATAAATATGCTCTCGGCTCTCATATACATTGTATATGATGGCAAGCAACGGTATTTCACAGACTATTTACAAATTTAAGGCCCTTTTTTTCATTATTAAGCCTTGCGCGAACTCAAAGAGCCCTTTCTGTTTAATCGGACTTGACTGCCGTGTTCTTTGATTTCTTCAGAAAATAATTTTTGATGTTCTGGAACGGCGTGTCAAAAAGCAGCGTTAATATCACCGATGTGATTATAATCCAGAGAAATTCACTGACGTTAAACTGTCAAAATGAGAATTAAACAGTTACGTACATTTTGTATAAGTTAGGTATTAAGATTTTTTTATTTTTAAGCCAGTAACTCACCAGCATCCTAAAGAATTCATAGTGCTCGGCACTGCGCGTCTGACCGACGTTGTAAAAGAAAACCGGAAATTGCGTCAAGTAAACAGCATAGCTCAGACGCGTCGATACTAAAAATCCACGCCAGGCAAATAATCTGGTAAGCCAGTCTATAATAAAATTATAAAAAATGTGTGTTGTCATTTGAAGCCAGTGTCATTCTCAATTATCATTTTGTTGCAATGATCTTGTATTACCATTGGTATTTCCTGTGTGCGCCAAAAATGCCATCCAGGCAAATAAAGCACACCAGCCTATTGGCGCAAATGCATTGTACGTTGCAGCGTGGGTTGGATTGTAAATATAATCGATGGAGCCCATTTTTGCAGGACCAATAAATGCACCGATAAACATTAAACTGCTGACTATCCATCCGATATTGATAACAGTCTGTAATTAGAGGCAAAACAAATTTTTAAAAATTGATCTTAGTCATGTGAATCTCTTAATGTATCATTTGCTTATGGAGAGATACTTACTCCGTTAAGCTTGTAACCTTTTGGACAATTTCTGAGCAAGTATCCCACTAAAATTCCCATAATATAAACCGTTAATCTGTGCGTTGGCAAGATGTACGATAAATTCGCCGTATCGAACAGCTGCCTTATCCTAAATAATATATAGGACGTGTCATTAGATATATTAGAGTAATTATATCTTAATTAAAAAAATACCAAAAAATAATGACTCACGAAGTACCGAAGAACACGTAATTGTTCAACCGCTTAAAATATGTAACGTAATAACGTAAAACAGTAGAAGCTATCGCCACAGCGCCAAGTATGGCAGCACCGATCTTAGGCTTCTTCCACAACAGGATTATCATCAACGGCGATAAGGCGAACAGTTGAGTATCGATACCCAAGTGATGTGTATGCGTCAAACACTGAAAGAAGCGTTAAAATAATATTCTCTTTCGATCTCCCCCCATAAAAAAGTCAATTTCTAATTCAAACGATTCCCGATAATTACCATATTTTCAAATCCAAAGTAGTTATGAATGAATAAGAAATTTCTCCACCATGTTTTTTTGCATATGTCAGCATGATGAGTTACAACGAGATTCCATTGAGGACCCGACCCAATAAACGGCATGATATATGTACAAAACAGTATAAGGGCTGCCAAGGTCGGAACCAATCTACAAATAATTCAAATAATTATTATTAGCCACTCCACGCGCGACATGAATTTATCATTAACTTACCTGAGCAATCTTGATAGATACTCATTACGAACATTAAGCTTATTATATTTGTTAAGTCTACCGACAAACGAATAAGTCGTTAACAGGCCAGACAACATGATAAACGGATCCGTATATAAACTAGCTGCTCTTCCAATTACGGTCCACGGTTTACCCAGGTACTGAAACATTAACGTTTTTTCTCTTTTGTCTTCATCTTCAAAGTAACTCATTAAATTGAAATATTACTAAACAACGTCCTCCAGTGAAGAAAGCGAAACAAAGTTTTAGGTCTAAACAAACCTCGGCCATGTCAGTCCTATTCATATAAGGATTGAAAAACAGTGCCATGCATTTGTGAGCGACAATTAACATCATGGCATTCAGTGCTCTGACTCCGTGAAGAGTAGCAATGTCGCCTTCAGCTCTTTCGAATGAAATCAGCTTGTTGAAATTTCTCTTGAGTGAAAATGACAGTAGAATCTCATTGCTATTGAGTGCATAATGATCACAGACAGCTGCGACAATAGACATCGTTATCACACCGGCGAAAAGGAGTCTGTAAGTATTTATACAAATTATTTATTGCATTATCAAACTACGCAATTTAATCAACGTTTTATTATTACCCAACGATTATCGTCGACGTTGGCAATGGCTCGATCCTTCTAACCTGACACATCTCCTGGTCTACCTGAACTGTAATCTTCAATCCAGTTTGTGCTGTGTGTTTGGCTAAAGTTTGTCTCAGTGAAATTTCAACGTCGCGATGTGAACAGGCCGCAGGCGTGCATATAGCCCAGTTGACGGTGCTAAATCGTGGTACGCGGTGTCCAGGCTGAAACAAATAATCAAATGTTTAGTTATCTAAATTAAATTACGTTAAGCGACGCCGTTGTCGTATCCTAGCAAACATATAAGAACAATCCAGTAGCCAATCGTTACTGATCCACTGATAGGTACAATGGATTAATATGGGCCCCATTATTAGCCCGCTCTTATGTGTTTTTTTGGTTATCTTTACGAGGAAACGATTAATTGAAATATTTATTATTATTTTATTAAATCTTGTATAGTTATAGGCAATCGCTTTTTTTTATTAACCGTTAGTTTCATGAATATTAATAAAGGTACAATTTTGTCTATTAATTTTATATTCATCTACCAAACTTTTAAATACAAAAAACCGTTACAGATATACGTATACGTGATATTTTAATTTTATGCAATCCTCGTAAACACGTCCCGGTCTGTATAACCACTGCAAAAAATATACTGATCGTCACCAAAATGTAAGTCTCTTTTCTATTAATAAGATTCGTAGCAGTGTTACTGAATTAAATTGTACGTATTCAAATGGAGATACGCGTATTAATAAGTACATATATTATTACTCGGTATTTGAATATTTAGCAATTCTAGATATTTTTAGAGAAAAGTTTGAGAATGATGATTGGTCATTTTGACCGTTTAATTCATTGAATAATCATCACTATGGTTCAGACAACTTTCAGTGTGTGTATTATTATTTTTTAATTATGCTAATGACGGAAAGATTAATAGTCAATGGATACGTTCGGCAGGTCACGTACTACCCAAAGCTAATATGGGGGATTCTTTCAAATCACGTGAGATCGTTATTTCCAATCTATAGATTCCGGAAATACCCTGACGTCATTGGTCTCCAATAAGGTACTGTTAGGAGAAATCATTGATCTCCGAAGGCAAATAATTTTGTTATACTAATCGTATTGTTATGTACGTGAGAGTACATGTAAAGTACTAGATAGATATGTTTTTTAATCAAAAGAACATTATTTTTCATTGCACAATCCAAGATTAATATCAGTCCTGGGTCGTTGATTTTGTTAAAACGTTTTTAATCGTTATAATAAAAATTTCATCTATTAACCATGTAAAAAAATGATTGACAGCATATAATAAGATTTCCTTGAGAATAATATAAGCAGTAGGGACAGACCCTATAGTTACTACATATAAAATTTACATGTGTTCATAAAACGTAATAATAAAATTGCGTATCGATCGTAAATCGTTTTTTAATATTATTTCTTGCATTAACAAAAAAAGAGTGGTTTACAGATCACGAACGAATATGGGTTAATAAAAGAAATTGGATCAAAGACAGAATTTTTTACCCATATCAATGTCACTCGTATTACACTTGAATTAATGGTTGACAAAAAAAAACAAATAATCATTTCTCACAAGAGCGAACCTAAAATGGACGCTATGTTTATTATAACTCTTATTTGCTCACGTTTAAATATAGGATTTGTTTAGTGCGAAAAATCCTCTTAATTTCGAATAAAATGATTGCCTAGTGATTATTTTTGTTGCATACGAAATTTTTAACCGTCTTATTATATAAAGTCGCGACACGACTAAAATGCGTCATATGCCTATATGCCTATATTAAGAAAATCGATGACTTTACTGTTTTCAAATGATTTTCCGTCAAACCCAGAATCCATGACTGGCAAACGGGTAATTCCCGGAGATAAAATCAGCAATGACAAATACAAGACACATACAGAATAGAAATTATTTGCAAATCAACGCTGTAACGGAAAATCAGACTGTGTTCTCAAATCCGATTATTTATTCTATACGCGTTTATCATTATGTTGATAAATTCTCGACTCCTTTGTTGTCTGATACGATGCTCGTTGGGATTCAGAAACGAGTCCGACTGTTGTCTAGGTTATAATATATTCATCAGATCGATGAAAGTCAAAAATAGCAGCACGCCTGGCACACACAGAATCCCAGAATAAAAAAATAACTTGGAAATATTTTTTTGCAAATAATTTCAAAATGTACATTTTATAACCTACTTCACATAGTAGGTATGGATATCCTTTAATATTTTTTACAATCAAAATTATAACCAGCGGGATCCACGGAGACACTTTGAACGTCAGAGTCTGCGTCATTAGACGAAAATTTCGACTATTAATTTCTTTTACGTATAATTAATATACATACTGTAAGAACTAAAAGTTATGACTGTTACGACCAGCATTTGACTACGTGACTTATTTATTCATTTAATGTATTTTGTAATCTGAATTTTTTTTTCATTTCTCAACTATTAGTAACGTGCAACTTACGTCTGACATGTTACTACGAAATGCGTAGTGGGAATGAAGAAGTCTGTGCAGGTGAACTAAATCAGGCCGTGATCGATCGATGTCCAATTGCAAATAAGCCAAGCAATATTTTCCTCGAATACCATCGCTACCTTTGATCCCGACGCACTCGTCGAAATCGCCCAATTGATTGACGTTTCCATTGAGAAGACCCGAAGGGATCTTGGCTGTGGCATCGTACACTGTGAACAATGATTTTTCGAAAATCAATGAAATTTATATACCTACGTATCGATTGGCTGTATCGAGCAAAGATAAATTATAACCAGCCAATTTTTTATTTTATAAGTAAAATTAATCGTCTGCCTCTGCTGACGTAGAAAAGATCACGTAGGATATTCGATTTATTCGGATATAAAAATTTATTGACAGTTACTTTGCCGGACTTGACGATTTTAAGATTTTAATACATTTGGTTAGACACGTGTCAGTTTTCCATTTGCGTAAACTGCTAATACTGGGAATCAATGACGGAGAGACATTTTATTAGTGACTTTGGAGGATATTTGCGTGCGAGAATATCTTGCATTCCTTTGATTAATGCGCGAGCATATTTTTTTTTCCATTTATAAGAGAAATCGTTGGACACCTCAAAGTAAAGGGCCTTATCTCTGAGACCACGTGTTGGCCAATTATAAATACCTTTTTAGTCTTTCACATTTATTAGACGCAAAGTATTTTAATTTTGACGTATAACGATTCAACGAATTTATCTCAAAATTATCTATGTTTTATGATGAACCGAGATGGAGAGGAAAGATTTTTTTTTTTCAAAGGAAAAAAATTAATTTTACCATCATTAATTTTATGAGAACTATAACCTTCGTGTGTAGTACTCTTACCCGCATTATTGCGTACGCTGTGTTCCTTGTTATTTCCTCGAATCTCATGAAAATCATTGTTTCTGATACTTATAAAACATTATGATAATTTTATCGTAATTAATATTTATATTGAATTATTACTCTCGAGGGCTCTTACGAAGTTCTTGAAGTAAAAAAAAAATATTTTATGCAAATTCGAAAATCCTGTTCTTCCTGCATTCGATCATATGATAATGATTACAAAGTAATCATCAATATTGTTACTCCATTAGCCTCGAGTGCTTTTCCTGAAACTCCTATAAAAGTCTTCCCTTGAATTCGTAAGATAAGAATTTTCAAAATTCACTCACTCTTCAAAGCCCACAATGTGAATTTTGAAAGTTCCCGCTGAAATACGTCCGACTGTCTTTTGCACTCAGAACTCACTGAGCCAGCACCGGGTTCGTAGGTTGGTACAACCTGTAGCAGCCGTCGAGTCTCGCGATCAATTTCCGTTCGAAAGTTTTCTGAAAACAAGAACAAGAGCGTAAGTTATAATTTTCAAAAACATCCCGTCCATTAATTTTCTTCGGTAATATCAGAAGTAACGCCACCAGTTGGTAAACATGCCCGAGCGTCCATGTGGCAATTACGGATACAATCAAAAGTGAAGGTAATTTTCGTGGAAAGTGACAAAATGAATAAGTTCAAGAACGATCCACGACAGCCATTGCAACACGTGAGTGCATTCAAAACACCCTAATAGATACAATGTCAAAATATTGCGTAAAGACCGGAAGATAACGCAGTTTACTATAACAATTTGAATCGTAGACTCTCCACAGATCAAATAGCACATCCGTAACATGTGCGATCGCGAAATAATCATATACGGTAACCGTTTGAGTCTGTAAAAAAAAAGTTGAAAAAATTATTTTTTTCAAGAAAACATAAAAGAAACTCAATAAAATCAATGTCTAATATAAAACTCAAGTCGTGTCCTCACAGCAGCATTGAACTCCGTGTTTACTTACACTTTCACCTTGCGTTACGGTAATGCGAAACGCAACGGAATCGCGCCTGGTAACGCGTACGACATAAGAATCGCAATCGCGAGTACTAAACTCGCCTATATGTATATTCTGTCTATAACCACGTATTAGCCAGCCGCGTAGCTCGTCCATAGAAGCGCGTGTCTCCAGCCGGTTTCTTGTATACGTGTCTTCTAAATAGAATCGAGAAAATTTCATTGAAAGAACGGAATGCGTTGCTGTCGTCAGGATAGCAAACACAAGATAATGGTCACGTGGAGGTATTAAGTAACCCAAGAACTATTGGCTGTTGTTATTGTCGATTTCGAAATCAGTCAAATTCCTCGGTGCAACCTTTTTTTCTTTTAGTTTTTAGCAGTAACACCCTCCAGAAACATCATCTGTCAGAGCTGTCGATGGTTAAACAAATTATAGCCTGAAGTCATTTTTTTTCCTTTTTCGATCCAACGAACCGACCAAGGTCTCGATTCATTGACCCAGCCCACGATGACCTTCGACCATTACCGTCTTTGGTAGCTAGGTAAACCAGTTGTATAACCCCCATAACTGTTTACTTTCGTTTCACTCACGAACCCTGTCGGCTATTCACTCCTTCAGGCCTCAATGTTGCAACGATGCATATTCTCGCGACGCCACTTTGAAGCAAGGCACACGAAACGTGCTGAATATCGTGCCATTTATTTATCATAGGAGACACTACACATTTCACGTATCAACGTACCGTACAAAATTCGTAATTCATCTTTTTTATTTTCAATATCCCTCGAGTGTATTATTTGCGTATGTACTTGAGTCAGAAGAGCTTCTTATAGGAAGTATGTATGTTTAAGCCATTTTAAACTTCACCTATTAAAAAGTATACAAAAAAAATATTGTCAAGTGATTCGACTGAAATAGGTAAAACTACCCAAGCGACTATATACATAGTTGCAAATCACGTTTATAATCACTATATGCTCTGAGTGCACAGATGGCATTGACCATATACGTATTAATAACTGAATATGTATGCTTCGCCAATTTTCAAACTATCGACTACACGTCTACTTATAGATATGTAAAAAAATCATTCAACCGAAGTTTATAGAACCAGTCACGTGACTCGAGAATTATTTCGTTTTAGTGTGCAAAACTTGTTAGCTAATTAAACTTAGAGGCAAGTTTTTCTTCAACTACTGTACTGACTATATATACATAGGTATGGTAGGATTACAGTACACAGTTTGACTGTTCGGTAACGTTTGCTTCAAAATTTTGTCATACCGATTATGGACCGTTACCACGTATACGTATCAACTGCAGTGAAGTCAAAGACCAAAAAGTCCATGTCACGTTTCTTAACTTCGCGTAACGATTTCCTACTTTGACTATTATTATGATTCTTAACCTATCTTTAAATCAATTTTGGCCAATCAAATTTAACCTCGAAATATTTCTTCACTCTAGCCTTTAAATCTTTGGTGTAACAAATCGTACCTACTTGATGCCACACGAACCTTTTAAATTGTATCTTCAAGGCAATCTTCCACAATTCACTAACTGATGTTTTTTCTTTTTTTTTACTAAACCATTTTTGCTGCTAGTACCGACAGCGAATGACTGTGTCCTTGACGTGCTTGTTCGCATACAGGCGAGTTGAGAAAAATAAAAGTTGATTACATGACGTAATATCGAAAGTAGTCCTGCTATACTGCACCCTGTTCACATCGATGCTCTCAGCCCTTCTATGCAGTGGCATGTGACGCGAATGGCTGCGGATTCGAGAAAAAAGGAATACTAATGGCGATTGACCTTAATCTAGCCTGGTGTGTACAGGTACTACGCTCGCCATATAAATTTGCATAACAAGCTCATGACATTATGTGTTAATCATTACGATGGGCGTAATATTATAGAATAAAAGATCCGTTCAAGATTGTGCAACTCGCAGAATCCAGTTATAATCTTGTATGCTTAGATTAATGTGACAACTTTTCGAACCACACGATTCGTACGAAATCACTGGTAACATTGACATTGCCAATTCTTCTGGTATTTAATATTTACAATTTCCCACCTATGAGTTATGCCTTAAACCAATCAATGAGCACTGTATCCAATAAACTTTTTATATCTAATTATAATGTGTGAATATAAAAAAAGTCTATTTAAATCAGCATTACGTAATTGGTAAACCTTCTTTTTGGACATATGATAATCGACACTGTATTTGGCTAAATGCTTTCATAGTTGAAGGTTATTTATTTTAGTATGACCAGGTATACTGGATTTTCAGAATGAACTGGAGAAAAAAATTACCTTAATAGAATAAAAAAAAATGTATTCATCTTTTGGATAATAGTATGTATATGTATATTGTGCCATTTTAGAAAAAAAAAATTATTTCTACGCTCTCACGTATTGTGTAACAATTATATTCTAGTTGTACGCAGGCTGACTGGGAAACTTTTTTTTTGGTCGACTTTTTATTTTCTCTTCTTCGTATTGAGGATTCACTTTTGAAACGGTCAATTGGTATAACCGATGTCGGGGATAACACGGAAACGTTAATTGAGTAATCGGCGACTATAGTTCGACTGTTATGATGTGGTAATTTTATTGACGGAATCGTTATGTATTATATATATTTTTTTTAACCGGCAGGATGTACAATAGCGATGTTACGATAACTGTCACGTCGATCGAGGAATTACGGTAAATTGTTTTTTCGTCATTTCGGTATTACTTAACAATATTGTACTTTTAATGCGGGCCACGCAGAATGAGGAAGTAGGTCGCGAAATGAACGTGTTTGAATACAATTGAGGAACACTATATAAGTGTATTCTATTTGCACATATATACGTACGTATGGTGTTTTATGGAGAAACAATCGAAATTGGGGATCCGTAAGAATTCTTATTGGTATTTAATATTTGTTATATTCCAATAAATCATATACTACTATCGAACTCACCGTAGTACGGATTAGTCCAGGATATTTCGGGCGGATCAATTCTCCATTCCTGATCAGCAGCATTTTTCGTCAATTCCGTGTGATTCTGCAAGTTACTGACGAGTTCCACGAAAGTGAAGTTCTCCGAGGATTCGGTTTTATTTTGCGCGAGGACACGCAGGATCTCTTCCTCCTTGATGGTATTCAGTCCCGGGGTTAAAATTTCCACGGTTTTACTAGCCTGCGAAAAACTTATCGCGCACAGCGCGATCCACCCTAATACGACGATCATTTCGGAAATGGTTTTCCGAAATGATTGAAAATTTTCAAAATGAAATTTACTCGACTATTACACAATGCAAAGCTAATAGTGTGCCCCGTAGGAGAAAAAAAAATATAAAAAAGTGGTACAACCTAATATTTTCGAAATTTAATATATTACGAGGAGGAAATTTTCAAAATTCACGATTCCACCAATTTTTTATTGCCCTTACGATCAATAGACTAGACACACTAATCGACAGACATGTCGAAGTGTTCGCGACTTCTATTTCAACGTGCGTGTGGCAAACGAGTGACCAAGGCTCGAACGACGTCCATCAGACATTCGGCGTTTCGTCGTGCAGCAGGATTTTAAGGGGGGTGACTTCCCCTCCCACTGCTAGTTGTACGCAGTTTGAATTAAAGAAAAAAGAAAAAGGAAGGAAAAACAGAAACGTCACGCACGCAACTACCGTGAGGATAATTACGAGCTACTGTTGCCTTTAAGGAATTTGCGCTATTTTAAAAAACCCCGCCATAATTTTTCCTTGACAGATAAGCTAGTGATCGATACTAATTGTAAGTTCATTGACATTCTGACGTACCCAATAGCACCGTGGTTCGTTATGAGTTGCATAAGATTCACAACAGTTGAACTATTGTTGAAAATTTAAATAAACGTTTTTATAAAAAAATTAAGATTATTTAATAAATTTTTGACAACTCAGCATATCACTGTACCAAGATAATGTATTAGTATATTTGTTAATGATAGTTATGAGTTTTGTATTCTATGAGGATAGTCCTGATATCATTTTTATATATAACATGTACCAGAGGAACGTAAAGCGAGGCTCACACCGAACTTTTCAAAATTTGTAGTGCCAAGCACCCGGAATTAAGATGGATTTAGAAATGGTTAGACGTAGCTAAGATGGATTAGAACTTCAATGTTAAGTTTCTCAAGGTTCAGCTTTTTTTTTTCTTAACATTTCAATGTGCCGATGTGAATGCCGCTTAATCGGTAATGTCCTCGCAAATGTTCATTGAAAAGTTCATATATGCATATATAGTTTTATAGTAAGATAGTAAGCTGAAGATTGTGCTGATCTATTATAAACAGTACGTAAGCATAAATAAAGATGTATACGTATAGATGCAAATAAAAGTATATAGAAATTGAACTTTCTCGTGCCGAGTTGGCGTTTCCAAATTGATCAAAAGGACATAAAAATGGAACCTTGGTCAAACCAGGTTTGATCATGAACCGTAGTCAATGCCCATCCCGATGATTCGGCGGCTTCATGGGATTTCCCGAGCGAAGAAGAGTCAACAGATTCGTTACGATGATTCTGTTAATAATGCGAAACTATGATGAATATGTCAAACAAATCTAGCGGTTCGCAAATTTTTTTTATAGCTTCCGTATACTCACTACTATATGTGGTTTTCTAGTAAAGATTAATAGTTAATTTTCTTAAGTTGGTTCTATATGATTCAGATTGGGTTTCGTCAGTTCATTAAATACAGATTAAGCCTCGTTTCAGTTTTGATAAAGAAACGCGTCACTCGATGTCATGGATCTACATGTCATCTATCATTGTACACAAGAACCGCAGCTTATACTGTGCTGTAACATTTGCATTTACTATGGACACATTGAATATGATTACCCAATTACGAAATGATTGCCATACGTCGCCCTAATCCTATAACTGAGGTCAAAGTTCATCCGAACGTAATAATGATTAATTATCAAAGTGTAAGATCGTCCTTGTTTAATAATCAAAAAATGATTTCACAATTCTACAATGAAATTTGATAATTAAAGCCTCACACTGACTTACAGCCATTAGGCTATTTCGTGTATCAAGGTAAGTGATAATAATTTTTTTTTTATTTCAAAATCTCACCTCACCATCATGATTTTTTAATATGTCCAACACCTACGCACAGATACACGAAATGCATGTTATTTTCTCGTAGTCGTTTGATCCGCTCCAAATTTTGAAATTTTGAAAAACGAATGACGAAGCATGACTCGAGAAATTTTTTAAACTACTCACGTGCAAGCACTGTCATTCCACGTAATAACACTGGCAGCGTGTAGAATTATTTTTGAACAAATTTCAGTATCGTGCTGATGCATTCAATGAAAAAGTGCATAAATTTAGTAACAAAAAAAGATAAGCATATAAAGAAATGGTATAAGGTAAAATAATAATCTATCGATGCACACACAGCAAAAATATCGTACAGAAAGAGTTATTGAGAATCCTTCAAGGGCTGGTGAGCATTGTGAATGGACCTGTAGATCATCGACCTAAGCGTTTCTCCTGTTGCAATGAAAACTGCATTGCAAAATATACTAGCACATCGACGTGCTTTTAATAGATTTCGCACTGCACAGTCCCCCCTGTATCGTTAGTGAAGTGTCATCAGTCATCAGGCTAGGAAGGTAGATGTTGTAAGATCGAAACCGGTATACGAGTAATCGAAGTCATTTTTTTTGTTCGATCGTTAATTAACACACAAAGCCTAATTAAAACTAACGATTAAACGACGTTCTCGTTGCAACTGTAATAGGTGTCGATGCTAAATAAAAAATGACTTAAGGATATTTGTAAAATTAAAATTTTTTTTTATACGGTGCTTTCTAATAAACGTTTCTCCGAAAGCGAGAAATGCCTATCGATATGAATATTTTAATATAAATGAGTATTTGATTAATCGACTAATTGCAAAGAATCAATCTAATCTATTCATTATTGGTGACAGTCTTTGAGTCTGGAGTGAAAAGCAAGTGCCGTTCATTGTTCATTCATGAAACAATGTCAGCCATAAGCGACCTTCTTGTAGTAACGTCATCGGAATCATGAGACTTATATCAATTAATTGTGGCTGAGAGTTGATTATGTAAATACAGACATTATGCAAATATATGCAGGTAAGTATATAATTAAAAAAATCTGATTGTATTGAACTAAAAATATTTGATTCGTTATTCCTGATAGCCCTTAAATTTCCAAGTATTAATTAAAAATGATCATGTTATTTATTATATTAAATTTACTGTGTTTTATGATTGATGGTTATTAATAATCAGACACTTTCGTTTTGGGAATACAATTTTGCGAAATCGGCCTGCGGCTGTTTTAAATAGGGATCGCGATTCTTATACATTGGGTAAACGACAATTAAGAACCTTTCTACGGAAATGTCATCGGGAAAGTTTCTTCGTTGATGTGGACACGTGAAGTCACGACCGTTTCCTGAGTAACCTATTTAGAAAATTATATTGGATTCATTTTTAGGATACACGATAAGAAAGTAGTGTCCATATTGTCAATAGACTGCAATACAGGACTTCTTTGGAGTGCAATATGTGAATAATAAGTGGCTTAACGAAATATTTCACTGTGCCAATGCGAGTGCGCGCACGTTTTCCTGGTTGTTACACACATCGTGAAGACGTCTTTTTAAAAACGTAAAAAGCCGTTATGCGATTAAGTACACCTTGGTAAACACAAATGTTCTGAGATCAATATGCGTAATTATTCTAACCTTAGTATCGATGATAAGGATTATCATGTTTGATTATTTGCTAGCGTCTCAAAATGTCAGTTCCAAATATTCAAATTCTCGTACATAACATTTCTTGTATGTATAGTCGTCTATCCGCAATTATTATGACCATCAAATCATTTCTTCTATTAAATGTTACTTATCAAGCACAACAAGTATGTATAAATATACTTCGTCAATCAAAAATGTAACATTCCGCAATCTACCTAATTTAATTCATATAGGCGAGAAGTAGTATTCTCGTTGGCACGAGTCCTTCAAATTCTCGGGCGTGTTCGTCGCCTGGCGGAAACACCCGAACGTAACTGCAAAGCGAAGTCACGTCGTCTACGTTCGGTGCGGCTCGGTAACATTCGACGAGCACGCCGTACGCGATATTTCGCGAGTACTGCGAGCAGCCGTCACACGAAAGATAGAAATAATGCTGTTCGTTGGCATACGTGATGTCATGTGCCGCGTAACGTAACCTAACGTAATCGGCAGTGTGCGCCATGGCCGAGACGCTTGGCAGCCTTCCCGAGTTATGAACGACTTGTACCGTTGTACTCCTGGCCGTGATGGCCTAAACACACGACACCTATCGATTCATCCCTCACGAAAGCATTGACGACGATTCGTTCGTATGTTTATTCGAGCCACAAATAACACGTTGTTCTCCCTACCCTGTCTCGGCGGCTTTTGATACCGCATCGCTGAAGATCCTATCAATGGTGAGTGTGTAATCTCTTACTACTGTATACGTCACGCGTCCCAGCGAATGTCTCGTCCTTCACCGTCTAAACCTTTTCATCCTTCCTTCTCTTTCTTACTTTCACACTACTTTTCTTCTTCCTTCGTTACGGTAAATCCATTCCTTCAATTTATATTGAAAAATATTCAATAACATCACGTTGTCACCGATCCCAAAGATACAATATGTAATTGCATTACTTTTTCTGTTACGATTTTTATTACTGTCGCGTGTACGACTTATTCTCAATCGGTAACGGTCGTCCGTTTGCGGTCGGTAACATAATGTTTCGTCCGTTAGGAAATGATATATCGAAGACATTGGTTGACTAATCAATAACCCTGTTACCTTGTTCTTTACAGTAATATGTGCTTTCATTATTCTGTAGGGTCATTGGTTCTTTAAGGTTTATTTGATTTTAACCAACATTTTTTCTCCGAACTGTCGGTAACACGTCGCGATCCAGGAGAAACCGACCAGGTTATACATTACAAATGCATCACTTGAAGTTAGCCTGTAATGTAATTTTTATGGTAGAACCATATTCAGATGGTGCGTCTGTTTAAGTAACCCTATATACATATATCTGAAGTCATTACGCTATGTCATTATGCATTACAGAATAGAACTTGTTAACTTCGACGACGTAATGACGCGTACATCGTTAAAATCGATGTCAAGCTTCAAAGACGCAATAAGGTAGCGGCTGGTGTAAAGTTCCGTGTCCTTATACCAAAACCCACGTGAATTTATGGAGGCTTATTTGTCGCTTTATTAATAGCGGCTTGCCAAAGTCAAATGGACTTATATATCCGGGATACTGATGTTCTATTGTGACTATATACTGCGTTCTTGTGTTTACTTTCATCAACCCCCTACCTAATAATTGCTTAGTCCTTGGTGTGCAATTATCCCCCTTTTCAGAGATCGCTCGATACAACTATCCTACACGTCTTGTATCCTGAATCTCGTGCTCCTGTATGTTGTCGGACTCTTTTAAGGAACTTGTCGAGGGAACTTCTCGTGTTTTATCTTTTTGCGACCTGACTTCGAACCATGTCCTTCTACTCGATGAAGATACCTGAAGGGCCACCTGACCTCCTAAAAATAGCCAGTGTATACTAGTAGAGGCCTCTACCTGAGGATCGTCTAACAGTCACGAAGCATTGTTTAGCCCTCAACCGACGTCTAACTAAATTTACTTGTATCAAACTTATGCGCTGAGCTTAATATACAAAATAGAAAAATATGAATTAACTGCTAATTACAGTCGGTAATATAAGAATTTTCAGGAATTATTTCATCACATGACAATGATTTTGATAAGTTTTTATTTTGAGTTTCTTTCTTCTTACTATTACTTATACGTAAGGATATCTTGTGCGTAGACCTTGTAAGCATTATATTCCCTAAAGGATTCTAAGGATTCTTGACCAGGTGAAGCAGCAGAAACACTTACGCGATGTCGCCGAGGTCCAGAAGGTCGACATTTCCGTTTCCGGGCGTCCCAGGAAGGGCGGCCGACGGAAGCGGCTTGTCCGCGCCCAAGGTACCACTTACTCACCGTGCTCTTGCATCTTTTTTGGGTTTTTATCCAACACCTTTAAATCTTTAACATTTTCTAAGTATCAGTCTTTCTCTCTCTCTCTATTCGTTTTACTTTCTCTTGTATTCTTTGTTTATCTTTGCTATAACCAAAACCAGCTGACACTGCATCGATCCAACCTGCGCAAAACTCATTGCGTATCACAAGGTCAACGCTTGCCAATCACTATTGAATTAACCTTTAATTTAAAATTAATCTAACATGAAATAAATTCCTCGTACATGCGATAGCGGCTAGTATCTGAATTAAATAAAAAATTATGTCTTGCCTTCTCTAGTATCATAGGTAGTAGTACGAGCCGACATTACTTCGCGCTGTAGCTTACACGTATAGTGCATTAAAAATAACTCTTACCATTGGGCCACCAGCTTGGGTTTATAAAATATACACATACAGCTACAATCCTATCTCTCGGCTGACGAGGGATATAACCAGCATTCCATTAACATCGAAAAGTTATAATAACAGTCTAATACAAATATCTAAAGAAGAATCGCCTGCGTAGTTACGTCTAACGATGTTACTAACAATAAGCTTGTGTCAAGAAGTTAGCTAACCTGTTTATTTCTTCGTTATTATTCCTATTTCAAATAACTAATCCCCAATCGTTCTCATATTTATCCTACGTATTTATTTGCCACTCACAAGAGCATGCTGCGTAAGCCTAGGGCGATGGAATAAAATATATTTCGTGTACCATAGACTTTTCTTAACCAGAGTAGCTTTTCTTTTTCTTTCCTCCTTTTTCCCCCATTTTTCGGATACTCCTTCACGATTCTCAATTCGACTCTGCGAAGCGGCGCTCGCGAATTTACGTCACACTTTCGGCATGGTCAAGGGATCCATTTCTTTCCAGTCGTGAGGATGCTCTCGCAGAAGCAGCCGGAAGTCACTTCCGGCGGTTCCGGAACGGATGCCGGTTCTGTCCCTACTCCAACAACTTCAGGCGGTGCTGTCACTCCAGGAAGCTACACCAACGGCGAGGGCTCCAAGGAGTTTCTCTCGACCGGCAGAACGGGACGCAGAAATGCTCTGCCTGACATCCTTGGACAACACGCCGATACCGGAACTGCGGATTTACCTTCGCGACTGGAGGCACTTACCACCGAGACCAAACACGGTAACTTCTTCTTTTTTTAAATTATTATGTACGAATCCGAACAATGGCGATTATTCTATTGTCTGACGACAAGGTACAAGGTCATGCGGTATTAATGATATTTGGTGAATGTGCTCCTCCGAGTTTTAGGAATATAAAGAATTCCATTCAACAGTAGTTACCCATGTGATATGCATTACATAAATACATGTGGCCTAGTGCAATTTTAATACTCAGTGTATAACATTGAAGTATATTTATAGGTATTTTCATACTTACTGGATTACATGAAATAATCCATTGTAATGGAAACTATTACGATTGTACATATTGTATTGTGATATTTGACATGTGGGTTACAGATCAACCCAGCACCAGTGGATTGCGTCAAGAGGACCCTTCAAGCTCGCAGCGCACCGGATGAGAGTGTCAAGAGGAAGAGACCTTATTTGGACTCTCCAGAATACATGCGAGATGGATCCCTGATCTCATGGACACGCGAATCATCTTCATCGGCTGGCCTGAAGATTTTTCATGCTGATCCAACTTGACAACTGTGCTATACATGCAGGATATGATACTTGGTGGAAACACTTATTGTCGATGATATTTTGCTAAGGGATGATCTCTGTTAAGATACACTTTGTCTATTAGTCGTCTCTTTGACGGGTAGATCGACCCAGTTGCGTACAAGGTCCGCGTGGCAGCACAGTATTACTATTTGACTACTATAGGGGCGTAGAATTTATTTATGGAGTCACGAGAGCTTTTCTGCGGGTATGTACTTTTCTAGACGACCGGTAAGAATTTCTTGAGGGGTCGGTATCGAGGAATTTATTCTTTTGATTGTACATGGGAGGCCTCACGAGCCTTTGTATTAGGTTAAGGACACTTGTATATTAATACAGATGTACAATATTCGTAAATATTCGTCGGGCAGTGTGATGAAAGTAGACATTTATACGGGATACGAGGGGAGTAGGAAGAAGGAGTCGAAGGGAAGACATATACGTTGAGATAATTTATATACAGCGTACTACGTGAAATGTACATATTAACGTAACAACTGATAAGGGATGTCTCATGATGGCCTAAAATCGCGCCTAACTATTAAGAGCGAGTGGGAATGCTGACTTTTTTTTACATCGAGATTAGACGTAACGATAAGACTAGTTATATTTGAGATACTACTTGCAGGAGAATATTTAGATTAATCAATGACGATCGATACCTGTTCGTCTATTGATTCTTAAAAGGAAACTTGGACCTGTATGTGTATCAGCAATGCGCGTAGTAAGGCGTATCTTATTATTTGTATTGTCATATTTCTAACGTCAGGTACAAACGGCCGAATCTCATATGCGACACCGATTATTAAGAAACTCTCGGTGATCTTGTACATCCGACATTCTAGTCAATTTGGACCAGTGTTACGTCGAGCCAGAGGGAGAGAATGATCCATACGAAACTTCTTGTTCGACTTTACTTCAATATTATACGTATCTCCTTTGTGCGACATTGCGACTCCGATTAGGAGCGTTTTATGTGATTAATAAAAAATGGAATATGAGTCTTAACATTAATGCGTTTAGTTTCACTTTATAGTTTTATGCCTGTAATCAGATATCAATGTGGATTTGAGGAAAAGAGTTGGTACAAATGAACCTTTGGTCTTTCAAATGGGTCGTAATAATTCCTGAATAAATTTCCTACAGCCTTATTCATTACTGCACAATGACCTACAAGAGTGTCAATCGTTCACTGTTCGTGTGGAGAACACTGTTTCATAATACATGACTATATCTGAATTCCTCTATAAATACAAATAAACATATCTTACGTTCACTATACAATGCTTTATACTGGTCTGTTCTTTTGTGTAGGTTGTATGTCTGTCTTTTATGTCTACCTGTCTATCTGGTGTTTCCCATGTCTATGGACAGTGTCTAGTATTCACTAAACGGGTAGGACATATAAATATGAAAAAGATTAACTCACCGTGTCCAGTTGGCATGAATTTATTATCATTGGAGTAAATGTACTTATGCTCGATTGGTCCTAGTATGATTTCAGTTTTGAGGTTATAGAGCGTCTATGACACGTTTTAGAAATATTGTAGTTGCGTTATTGGTGAAAACTTTGTATCTGACAATTCGCCGGAAAAACTTTAATCGTATTGTTTATAAAATTTTCCACGGATTTTCCGATACTCTTCTCTGAATTTTTTTGCTATGTGCCCCTCTCATTTGCTCGGCGTGACATCTAGCATGCAAAATTTATCACACAATTTTAATATTTTCTGGAAAATTCTGAACCCCTATCAGCCGAAGACTTTTGTAGATAAAAGAAATTGTTATTTTGGAAAACTGATTTATTTTTAATGATAGAACTTCAGAGTTCTTAAAAATCATATTCATGTTATCTGCGTCGTCTAATCTGCACAAGTTGTAGAAATTTTTAGATAAAATACCAAAATTTATATTTTCACCAGCAATCAATGCAATCCTTTTTTTAATTTAGTTCAAACGAAAACAAATGCAACATATTGATCGATAATTTGTTGATGCTTTTTTTTCCAGATAACTAAGAATCATGTTTAGCGCACTGTGCAAACATACTAAAAGCTTTCGGGAAGAAGCTTTAATCAATGGAAAGCAATTTTTACCATTTTCTCATAATGGTCAGAAAATTATCGAACTAGCGTAGATTTTCAATATTGAAATTTCAACCTGCACTTAGAGCCCAATTATTTTTCTCTGTCGGCTGTCATCGACTGGAGCAATTAACCTAAAAGGTGACACAGTCGTATTCTGTTTTCCAGGAAAACTGCACCCACATTTTTCTTCTTTCCCTCAATCACTTCCCCCCCCCCCCCCCCCC